TTCCAGTTAAAGTTCTAATTGATTTTAGACGTCCGACCCACCTCTTTAAGCACATAAATTTAGATTTTGCTTCACTCTCTGGATTCTCAACCCCCCATCCTGATAAATATTGTACAGTTCATAATATCTACTTGCGGTTTTACTGACCTTGAGTGACCCGCCAACCTTGTAGTCAGTGAAAGTCCCGTTATTAAAAGCATAAGAGAGACTATACGAGGTAATCCATTGTGGAAACCAAACTACTACACTCCCTTGAGTCGCTACCTTTGTAACTCGGTAAATGTTACCAAGATCCACCTGCAGGTATTCACCGGCCACTGTGTTTTTGGCTACCCAGCTGCCGACCGATCCCATACGGGATGGGGAATTCCTTAGTCGTGCTTGCCATGGCTCACAACAATTGCCATGGGAAGACGAAGCAGAGATGCTGCTGTTTGGAATGCTTCCTGATTCTAAACCAAGTGGGGCATTGCAGACTACAAATTACACAAAAAAGTGTTCAAGAGAAAAGCTGATAACAACAATCAAAATCTTGATACAAAATAAGTCACGTGGGATTGCAAAAGAATGCAACGAAGTTTGAATATATTGTATTTAAACGTGCATGACTGAATTTTTAGTCGGACTAGCCGAAGGCTAGGTCGACTTGAGTTTAACCTTTTAGCCGATCAATCTGTCTATCTGTCTGTCTATTTTGTCGCGTTTGGACCACCAGAAAATTATTGGTTTACAAATGTGGTATCTGTAATCTCATCGGAATGCATCAGTCTAGGCATCCGAAGTACGCGCATGTGCGGATTGCATGGAGCTTCGAGTAGTATGCTTACGAAACTGAATTATAGCGTTAGACAGTCTTGTTTGGGCAAAGATTTCAAATTACAACAAGAAAAAACTTTATTTCTCAATAACAAAAAGGGCGACTTTGAGTATTTTATAGTCATCTCTTATTTTTTTAAAGTATTTATTTTCTTGGCACGAGGGGTCAACAATTTGAATTAAAAACGTATTAGATATCATGATATCACTTAGCGACATTTAGTCTACCACGTTTGATTTTATATATCAGTTCAGTTGTAAGTTAAAATACACTCTGTTCGCACGGTATTAATTACATGACCTTTTAAGTCAAATTTAGATTTCTCTCGTTTTGAAGTCGTTGCAGAGAGCAGTCAAAAAGAATATCGTATCGTGTGAATGAACGGTTTTGAACAGTACATTAATTAAAGTGAAAGTAACGCATTTTTGCTTTCACTATGTATTAGTATAGTTCACTATATATTAAAAATATATATTCTACGCCATAATTTACATTCATATATAATCATATGATTAGACAGAATATAACATCATAATCTTATCGTGTTCAAAACCTTTCATCGGTTCTCCTATACGCGCATCCATGTAATATCCTGTCTTTATCAATTTTCACAAAATAGCTAGTCCGACTTCACGCTCCAAGAGCGTCTAGTTATGTGTTGAACAGTATTTGTGCATGGTGCCCGAGTACTTTCTCCGGATCCCACCGGGCAATTGGGTTCATTTTTGCATTTTCGGACGAGCCCTGCTGCGTCAATACCTGGCTGCAGAGCTCTAGTGTGATCGCGTCCTGAACATGATCGAAACATGACGCTTAGTGCCGATACCCAGACACCGGTTTTGGTTTAGTCGTAATCTACCTACCTTTACAAATATAATCGTCTTTAGCGCTGTCAATCAAACAACTTTGTCCAGTACTGCAGTATGCATCACTGCAATAATCATTCTTTATCTTAATGTAAACYCCTCCCATGTCATACACGAGGTGCAGAGGTCTTGAAAGATGCGTTGCCTTGTTGAGATGACAATTCTTCTGTTCCTTGTAGTAATTGATACTAAAACATCCTGAATTCTCTCTGCACTTCATCTCGCAATGCGCTCGAGTGGTGACAAGTAGTGACGCTAGGAGGTTTCCTTGAAGGACAAAACTTTTCTGGACATAGTAACCACTGCATGAAGCTTGGACATTGGTTAGGATCGACAGGCCAATAAAAAAACAGCCAACAAGAATGTGAGACGTCTTCTTCATATTGGTGACCCTTTACAATCACTGTAATTAGGAACGCATTATCTTAGCGACATTATCAAACTCATTAATATTCATTTACTTAATTAAAGTTTAGTCCTTGAGAATGGAGTCAGGATGACTCCGAAACGTCGGATATTTACGTTAATTTTTATTCTAAATATTCCATAAGGCAAAACACAATAGAAATCATAACCCACGAAGAGAGTTGTATAGTACATACACATTCTTGTTCATTTTCAGTAAACTTTAACTCTGATTTCCTTCGTCACACTTTTTTGTTTACTTTAAACAAACCTGACCAAGTTTTACCTGAACGTTTCGCTTTCAGCTCGCTGTTTTTTAAACATCCTCCATACAGATCGCACTCATATTTTGTATATTACCCATCATATATGCCGTTAAAAGGCGAAACTCTTCTCATAGTAAGTAACGTAGTAAAGTTTTGAAGAAGTTTAAATTGATTGATAAAAAAAAACTAAACGCGTCACCATGCAATCGATTTTTTTGAAAAATCGATAGAACAACCATAATATTCCAAGAAATTGAACAAGAGAAATAGAATAAAGTGTTCGAAAAACTAAACGTCACGGGTAATCGATTTTTGATTATAAAAATGTTGCTAAGATCATAATTTCAAATGATAAAGTACGCAATTTGTCAAAAAGTCGGAAACTACACTGACTGTTCAAATAACATAGATTCTATAGATGAACACGTTGACTTAGAGAAACACGTATTGTTAGTGCGTACACGGTAATAGATCAAGTGACTGTTTTGTTACCGCCATGTTTTTGGGCTGGCAAAAAAAGTCTCTCAAAATAACACGGCGGTACAGTATGAAACTATGTGAAATAATCCCCGTTGAATTCCAATTCGAAAAAAGAATTATTAATTGTAAACGTGATAGATAACACGAAATTGAAGGACTTAGTTGAACTACGAGCGATTAAATTCATTTTAAGTTCTCCATACTATAGTAATTTTTTATCAAAGTCTTTTTTTAAAAAAAGCGGAAAACTAAAGCGATTGCCTGAAGTTTAGGTTTTCGTAATACTCACTCATCCGGAAACTAGATTATCGCTCAATTACCGTACTTACTAATATATCAATATTTTGAGGTTGATAGTTTATTGATAAGTAGTTCATTTTTCAAAAAAAATCCTTACTGATATTTAGTTTTTTTCCGAACACTCCATCAGGCAAAAGAAAAATCTGTTTGCCGCTACATAATAAACTTTGAAGCAAAGAAATAAAGTTTGACGCTAAGAAATAAAATTTCACGCTAAGAAATAAAGTTTTCCGCTACGAAATAAAGTTTGACGCTATACGAAATAAAGTTTGACGCTACGAAATAAAGTTTGACGCTACGAAATAAAGTTTGACGCTATACGAAATAAAGTTTGACGCTACGAAATAAAGTTTGACGCTACGAAATAAAGTTTGACGCTACGAAATAAAGTTTGACGCTACGAAATAAAATTTGACGCTACGAAATAAAGTTTGACGCTATGCGAAATAAAGTTTGACGCTAAGAAATAAAGTTTTCCGCTACGAAATAAAGTTTGACGCTATACGAAATAAAGCTTGACGCTACGAAATAAAGTTTGACGCTATACGAAATAAAGTTTGACGCTACGAAATAAAGTTTGACGCTACGAAATAAA